CAGCTGGGATTGCGATATTTAGTCTGTGAATTTTTGGACTTGTATTAATTTTTTTAAAAATTATTCTATTATTTCATTGTTTTACACCTTTTGGCGCTTCCTGTTTTCTTGTATTTTATAATAAGTGAATGAATACTTGCAAAAACATTCATTCATGGATATCATTTTTAATTTGTGGGTTGTAGCTTATTGGCTTCTTGACCCAAGGAGAGATCTGACTGACATTCTGAGGTTAAGAAGGATTCTTTTGCTAGTTTGCTACACAATTGGAAGTGCTTCAAGCTGTGTCTTTTGCCTTCTTTTGGATCAACCGCACAAACAGGTGTGAGAAAGCCTGAACTTTCATAGGCATAGAAACTAATATACAGTATTAAATAGAGTCCAAAAGATACCCAGTCCTTTGTTCTACGCAGTTATGAACACTTTATTAAAATGTACACTGTAATGGTATTTATTAATTAATGACTTTACATCATAAAGGAAGCATATTTAGTGTAATGCTTTGGGGGCACCACTAGGGGGAGTGTGTAGGAAGACATGTGCTTCTGGCAGTGACATCACAGGCCAGCCTACTTACACTGAATAAAAAACAGATGTAGGAGAAACTCTGTCTCTTTTTGCCTGTACCTGACTGATCATGTAGTACCAGCTCTGACTTAGCCCCAGCCCTTTGGCTGGGGCGTTGTAAGTAATATGAATCCATTGTAACAGTTAGCAATTGTAATAGCCTTTTGTATAATATTTAGCAACCAATAGCGTTTTGTGTATATTGTGTGTGTATGTATTTATTGTATTGTATAATTATTGTGGTAAATTGACATTCCGCTAGCATCTGTTTATTTATTATAGTTATATTAAATATACATTTAATATTACAACGTTTTGTGTATTTTCTATCCACATATTCGACCATAATACCATGAATTATAAAAATATTAATGTTGTTCCGTATTGCTTAATTATTATGTATTGAGATTAATATTCATATTTAGGTCACGACCACAACATACACCCTCATTAAAGGACCAAGGAAGGGCCCAGTCTAGCCCATTTTAGTGACCACCCCTCCCCCCACGGGGAAAATAGTTAAAATAAAAATAAAACTTCAGGACATCTTTAATTTCCGTGAACAATGTCTAGATTTTGAAGATGGTTTTGCTCCATTCAGTACTGGGCCATTTAAATGTTAGTGAATAACCCTGGAAGTCTTTTTTATTATTATTATTATTATTTGTCTTCCTTCTTCAGCCCCAAAAAGGGCAAACAACACCATAATAACCTGATGAAACAGTTCAAAGTGGTAATAGATGCCTGGAATGCTCAGTTAGCAAGCTGACCAATCACAGCACTCTGATGTGCTGGCTTTTTTGCTTTTATTTTTTCTTTCAAAGAGAGAGATAATCAGGTCTCTCTTATTACATGTTGAGCATTTAGAACTGCTTTACTTTAACTTTCAGTAGCACAGTGGTAGCCGCTCATCCCCTGCTCTCTTGAAATGGTTTATTGCATAGCATGGCATAGCGTGTCCAGAAGACAGCCACTAGAGGCTGGATTAACCCCAAATGTAAACATAGCAGTTTCTCTGAAACTTCTATGTTTACAGCTGCAGGGTTAAAACCTGAGGGACTTGTGTGATAGAATTTATCTTGATTCCAAGGCTCAAGCTTATAGGTGTCATATAATGATATCCTATATTAAAATTGGCTTACTTAGACACAGGAAATGCTTGATGCTTAACACAACACTTAAGACCATATATGTTAAGTTCCGGGAGCAGAGAGCCCCCACCTGAGATGTCTCTTCTCTAATCCTTTTGTTCTTTCTTACCTTGGAACTTATTTGTTTTGTGTACATGATGTTCATCCCTATGTCTTATCCTATTACTGTTCTAAGAGTATTTTCACGTAAGCACTTACTTTTTAATGTATAAAACCCAGCTGATGAATAAAACGGCAGAGGCTTATTTTGAATACCAACACGTGTCTGGTGTCAAATTCTCGCTTCTCCAAGTGCACTTGTAACAACAATTTGGGCTTCCTCTGAATATAACAAAGATCAACATTCTGATCCACAACAATTTGGTGCCGAAACCCGGGATCTGATGGTCGAGAGATTCGGACACTAGCGTACAGGCGGACGTCCCTCTGACAGTGAAATCAGCTGTACAGCAAGGTAAGAAAAACTTTTTTTTCTACCTTTATCAATTTTGCTCTCAGATCCACGTCCTACTAGTCTGTCTGGGTAAAGAACGACTTAAAAACGTCTGATTTAAAGAACTTGTTTTCTGTGGTATTATGGTTATATTCAGGTGGAGGTTGTGTTATGCCTTGTGAAAGGAATCTTGAGATAGTGGAATATAACTGTGGGTTGTAAGTTATTTTTATCATTTGCCTTGTCATATGTTTTATAATTTGAGATAGAATCCTCCAAGGGCAGATTTCCTGATCTGTGTTTAGAATAATGAAGACAAAACTGTGAAAATTCCACTGCAGCGGTCCTAAGTGTTTTAAATACACTGTTTTTGTACAGTTTGTCTTGTGTAAGGAAGTAATTAACCCTTACAAGTTTTAAGATGGGTAGCTCTGAAAGCACCCAAGGAGGATTTACGGCTTTGACTATTGTCAAGCATCACAAAGGACAAGGAACAATTAAGAATGTTAAGAGGTTACTTAAGAAAGCTGGCATGCCCTCAGAGGGCACTCTAGACCCACATATATGGAGTGAATTTATGGCAAATTACAGAGGTTGGTTAGAAGATAATGACTTAGTAGAAGTCGCACAAAAATGGCATGATACTGCTGTTGAATTAACTAAATGTGGTTGTAGAGAAACCACCAGGAAAGGTGTACCATATTGTCAATATTTTGGACCTTTAGGGTCCCAGAGTAGGCAAGATCCTGGGAAAAATCTTGTAAACCCACCCCTTTACCAGGATAATGCAGGGACTCCTTTGGTCCCTAAAGGCCAGGCGATTTCCCTTTTACGGAGATCAAAACCTCTCTTTCCAGTAATATTACACTGTGGGACTTCATATGGTTCCCTAGTATTCCCAGTAAGACCTATGGGTTCATTAGAGCAGCTAGGTAGTCCAGACTTAAAAGAACCCCTAGTTGCCCCCATAGAAACCCCAGTGGGACCATTAGCTCCACAATTTTCTACTCCCATGATAGCCAAAGTTGAGAGCCTATACCATGAGAACAGACAGCCGAGCTCAGGTATCCAATACTGTGAAGAATATAAGCCCGGGACACCCAGTGAACAACTGGGAATAAAACAGCAGCTGGCAGATGTTGAAAAGGCCTCCTTAGCTCTAGTCCAGTCTCTATCCACAATTCAAGCTACTTACCAGTGTACTTGGATGGATTTAAAACAGATTGTGGCGCTAAAAGCTGGCCCCATTTGGGCTAGAATAATTGCTAAATATACTGATGCCCATGAAGATAACCTCAGAAAAAGCAACATGCAAACAGATGAATGGTTTAGAACCAAATCTGAATCTGGAGGTAAAGGCAGAGGAACTAGCCCATAAATTAGGAGATATACTACAAGGGAAAGATGAATCTGTGGAAACATTCTTCACCAGACTACAGATGGCTTGGGAGGCATTGGGTTACACTGATGTTGTAACCACTTCGACCAGACTGCTTATTAACTGCTTCATAGATGATACCCACATACCCATAAGGACTGGTCTCCAAAATGCTAGAACTGAGTGGAAAATGTTTAACCTATGGTGATCTGGTGAAGATGGCTAGGGGAGTGGAACCTAATCTAAATACTAGAAAGAGGAGCACACCTCTAATGGCTGTAACTGTCCCTAGAGCTGGTGGAGACAGAAGGCAGGTAGACTGCTGGAATTGTGGCAGGAAAGGACACATTAAACATAACTGCAAGTGTCCTCCTAAAAATAGAAAACCCCAGGATTCTAATGATAACTCCCATGACAGCCAACCGCCTCCACCACCTCCCACCCCCAATAGGAAATTGGCAAACCAGTGTCCCTGCATATTATAAATATCCCTGACTCTGCAGGACTCTCACCCATTATCAATGTTACACTGCCCGGTGACCGAATAGTCCCTTTCCTGTTGGACACTGGCGCTGCTAAATCAATGTTACAGGAAAAAAATGTGTTCCCGTATGAGAAATCTAATGATGTATTATCATGTGTAGGGGTAGATGGTATCGAAAATGACATTCCCCTTACCCACAAGCTGAAATTGAAGCTACACAACTCTACTGCCCTTGTAACAAGGCTACTTGTCAGCCCTCATGCCCCTGCTAATCTACTAGGCAGTGATATACTGTCTGCTCTTAGTGCAAATATCCAGTATAGCCCCACTGGAAAAGTAACATTGTCTGTGCCTTTGGAGGACAAACAAATGATATCTCTTTCAAATGTTCTGGCACCTCTCACTATGACCAGCCATGTGCCAGAACCTACCACTGACTTGTCCTCAGTCCCTGATTCCTTATGGGCTTCAGGGAAGATAGATACAGGCAGACTCTCTGTGCCCGCAGTCAAAGTGAATCTCTGCCCGGAGCCAAACCTCCCTATCAAAAACAATACCCCCTAAGCCCAACAGAGGAAGATGCTATTTCGCAATCTGTGCAAGAGTTTCTGCAGGCAGGGGTAGTTGTCCAGACCACCTCCCCTTGTAACACACCATTGTACCCAATTAAGTAAAAGCAAGAGAAAGGGAAACCTGTGGTCTACTGTATGGTACATTATTTGAGGGCAATTAATGCTGTAACTGAACTCATTGCCCCTAATGTTCCCTACCCACACACCTTGTTGTCACAAATACCACCTTCCTCTAAGGTATTTACTGTTATTGACTTGGCAAATGCATTTTTCAGTGTCCCCCTGGATCCCGACAGTCAGTTTTTATTTGCATTTACACATAAACACAAGCAGTACACTTGGACAGTAGTGCCACAGGGCGCACAAAACTCACCCACTATGTACAGCATGGCTATGGCCCAGATTCTTGAAGAGTGGCAAAGGCCAAATAACGTAATTTTATTGCAGTATATCGATGACCTACTCCTATGTTGCGATAATATGGAATCTTGTATTGTAAACACTCTTTCCTTGCTGAAATTCTTGGCAAAAGCAGGCTGCAAAGTGACAAAAACGAAACTGCAAGCATGTGTAGAGAAAGTAATTTTCCTAGGACATTGCATTTCCCAGGGCATAAAACATCTCACGGAAAGTAGAAAGACTGCAGTTCAAAATATTAAACCCCCCCACCCCCAGCAGCCTTGCCCAGCTGCGCACATTTCTTGGTTTGGTATCTTACTGCCGTCCTTGGCTGCGTTCTGTAGCAATCTACATGCAACCACTGTATGATTGTCTTGCCAACGAAAACAAACCATTTAAATTAACCCATATGGCAGAAAATGCCTTCTATACCCTTAAATTACTGGTAACATCAGCCCCGGCACTGGGCCTCCCAGATTAAAGAAATAATTTTAACCTGTTCTGTACTGAGCAATCAGGTTATGCTACATCTGTCCTTACACAGGACCATGGTGGTAAACAAATATCAATAGCATACTACTCCACCAGATTGGACCCTGTTGCCAGGGGTGCCCTCTCATGTGTTAGGGCAGTGGCGGCTGTTACTGCCCACCTGGACAAAGCCACTGATATTGTCTTAGATAACCCGGTGACCATATACACACCACATGATATCAACAGCATAATGTCACAAGTTCGACCAAAACACATACATACTGCAAGGCATCTCAGAATGCAATGTGCCTTGCTTATGCCACCTAATGTTACTCTTAAAAGGTGTATGGTGTTAAATCCATCTACACTACTTCCCCTGGATTTAAAAGAGGGGAGTGGGGATAGTGGGAATGGTACTTGTACTTCTGATCTGTTTGTAAATTCACTTTCACCAGATGAGTTAGCTGACGCCCAGGTACTCCATGATTGTGCAGCACTAATGGTACAAGAAACAGCAGATTTTTTGCATGTAATTGATTCTCCATTATCTAATGCAGATTTTGAGTTTTTTGTAGATGGTTCCAGATATGCTGATGAGAAGGGTAATTTTCAAACTGGATATGCTGTAGTCTCTGCACATGAGGTAATAAAAGCTGAACCACTCGCTCCTCACTGCTCTGCACAGGAGGCATAGCTGAAGGCACTCGCTGAAGCATGTAAAACGGCTTCTGGTAAAACTGCTAATATTTATACAGACTCTCACTATGCTTTTGGTATAGCCCATGATTTTGGCCCCATATGGCGGGCTTGTGATTTTCTCACCTCAACAGGAACTCCAATCAAGAATTCTGAAGCCGTGAGCGCACTTATGGACGCTATCCTGCTACCCACTCAAGTAGGCATCATCAAGGTGGCAGCTCACGTGAAGAACCACAAAGCAGACGAAGCTGCCAAGCAAGCAGCAATTCAAGTTCATCCCTCTACAGGTAATACCTTCCTACAAGTTGTTCTTACAGATGACGCCGTTGACTACAATATACTGTTGAGCTTACAAAGACAGGCAAGCAAGGAAGAACATGACCTCTGGAGGAAACAAGATGCAAAACCTGATGATGACAGTATGTGGAGGAAGGTAAAAGACTGTGTTTGCCACGAGTGTTGTACCCCATGATGGCCCAGATTGCGATGGACCTACACATCTATCCAGATGTGATGCACATGAACAGCATAGTAAACACCCATTGGGTAGCACCCGGATTTACTGTTGTAGCAGCTAAACACACCAAGCTTGCATGATTTGTGCTAGAAACAATACAGGACAGGCTGTCAAAACACCAATTAAGCACACACCAAGGCCACTTTACCCATTTCAAAGACTGAAGATAGACTATATTCAACTACCTAATGTAGGAGTGTATGAATATGTGTTGGTGTGCATTGATCTCTTTTCAGGTTGGCCTGAGGCCTACCCAGTGTCGAAAGCCACAATGAAGGTCACAGCAAGTAAGCTTCTGAAGGAACTGGTATGTAGATATGGAGTACCTGGAGTGATTGAAAGTGACAGAGGAAGCCATTTCACTGGGGAAATAATGCAAGAAATTATGAAAGCCTTAGGGATCACTCAGGCCTTCCACACCCCCTATCACCCCCAGAGTAGTGGGAAAGTAGAAAGGGCAAATGGCACTTAAAGAACAAGATTGCAAAAGCCATGCAAGACACTGGGAATCCCTGGACTGAATGCCTTCCTCTAGCACTCTTTTCTATCTCTTCTTTCTCTTTTCACCCCCAGTTCCAGACATGGCCTATCCCCTTTTGAGATCCTGTTTAGATGTGCCCCAAAGACAGGCCTCTATTTTCCCCGAACCCTCCAGATGCAGCATGGTAGTATGACTGCCTATGTTCAGGCCCTGCACCAAAGATTAGGCAGGGTGCATAAACAAGTCTTTGATTCTATTCCAGATCCAGACTCTGATTCTGCAACTCACAAACTGCAGCCTGGTGATTGGGTGGTGATAAAGAGGCATGTGAGGAAAGGACTTGAACCACACTTTGACGGTCCATTCCAAGTGCTCTTGACTACGGCTACCTCAGTGAAACTAGAAGGAAAAGCAATGTGGATACACGCCAGTCACTATAAACAAGTCACTCCGACTGATCCACCGACATGAAGCTGTTCTTATCCTTTACCATTGTATGCTGTGTTCGGATATGCTACTCTGACTTGAGACCATAAAATAATAATGCATGGCAGGAAAATATGTGGTTGCAGATAGCAAACGCTTTTAATTTAACCTCCTTTTGCCTCAACCCTCTCCTCAGTACTGAAAATGCCATAGAATCTTGTCTTATAGCTGTCCCTACCCACATCTCACTATTGAGGAAGTACCTACATATTCAAAGACCCCATAAATCTTTACAACTATATTCTTATGCTTTCAACCCACTGGTAGGCAAGCCTCCCCTAGCCCTGAAGACAATTAATGTGACAGGCGCTGAACTTTGTTGGTCTTTTTCATGTAAGTGTTCAAGAGACCCTAATACTGAATCCATGTTTTGCCCCACATGGTGGAAAAATACCACCAATTGTAGAGCCCTGAGCACCACTATGAATTGTACCAAAACTCACCAAGTTATGAGGTATCAATACAATGTCTATCTTCCTAAAGGATGGACTTTCTCCTGTGGAAATATTACTTATGCTTATGTCCCAGGTAACATTACAGGAGGTCCCTGTGCAATCTCTCCTAACCATGACCATGTTTTCCAAATCTGACCTGATCACTAAAACCACCCAGCTACACAAACTGCTGAGAGACAGAAGAGATGTTAAAAAGACCCTTACTGCAAATTGTAACCCTGAAATCACTCTCTTATCTAAAGCCGAATACTCCGCCCTAGCGTACACCTTGGTTGAAGTCCCAGGCTTAGCACTGTATAATACCCGAGTAGTTAATGCTGTTGCCTGTTCCCTTGCAAAAGTTTAAAATGCGACTTTACAGGCCCTAGAAGTGCTACTTATGGACAACCAGGCAAATAAGAAGGCAATCCATGAGAATAGAGCAGCCATTGACTACTTACTAATGAAACATGACTTAGTCTTTGAAGCTATTGAAGGTATGTGCTGTTTTAACCTATCTAACCATGGCACTATGATCCATAAACATATACAAGATTTACATGACTTAGTACAGGATATCAAACAGGATACTGGCTTCTTTGGGGAATGGACATTTGGGCTAGGAACATGGTTGACTTTACTAATTAAGAAAATTTTGTACTTTTTGCTATTAGCTGTATTTGTCATTATGGCCATTTTTCTAACCTTTAGATTTTTTTCATGTCTACTAACCTCTCTATGTAAAAGCAAACCTACTGTTGGTCGTACCTTAACTTACATTCCGGCTCCGACTTCGGAAAGGTTTTATGATGTTACCTCGCCTAACAAATGAAGGAACTCTCCCCTGCTGATTCTGCTGGTCTCTCAGTCCAAGGGAACCGTGGTGAAGCAATAAATGAAAGTCCCACAGGCTTTGGCTAGCAGGCCTGGAAATATCTTGGACATTTGGGTGACCCTTGGATCAAAAGAGGGGATTGTGATAGAATTTATCTTGATTCCAAGGCTCAAGCTTATAGGTGTCATATAATAATATCCTATATTAAAATTGGCTAACTTGAACTCAGGAAATGCTTGATGCTTAACACAACACTTAAGACCATATATGTCTAGTTCCGGGAGCAGAGAGCCCCCATGTCACGAGATGTCGCGAGATGTCGCTTCTCTAATCTTTTTGTTCTTTCTTACCTTGGAACTTATTTGTTATGTGTACATGACGTTCATCCCTATGTCTTATCTGTACTCCCTTCCTATTACTGTTCTATGAGTATTTGCAAGTAAGCACTTACTTTTTAATGTATAAAACCCAGCTGATGAATAAAACGGCAGAGGCTTATTTTGAATACCAACGCGTGTGTGTTGTCTAATTCTCGCTTCTCCAAGTGCACTTGTAACAACAATTTGGGCTTCCTCTGAATATAACAAAGATCAACATTCTGATCCACAACCTCATCATTGAGCTGAAGTGGTCTGGGTGACTATAGTGTCCCTTTAAAGGAAAACTATAGTCACCAAAACAACGTTAGCATAAAAGGACACTATAGTCACCAGAACAACTACAGCTTATTGTATTTGTTCTGGTGAGTATAATCATTCCTTTATTTCCGGTAAACACTGTCTTTTCAGAGACAATGCAGTGTCTACATAACAGCCTAGGTGTACCTTCACTGGCCACTCCTCAGATGGCTACTAGATGTGCATCCTGGGGCAATGCTGCACATTTCCATTCAGTGTCCACATCCTCTGCATTGAGACACTGAACTTTTCTCATAGAGATGCATTGATTCAATGCATCTCTGTGAGGAGATGCTGATTGGCCAGGGCTGTGTTTAGCTTGTGCTGGCTCTGCCCATGATTTGCCTCCTTGACAGTCTCAGCCAATCTAATGCTTTCCTATGGGAAAGCATGGTGATTGGCTGAGAGAATCATTTCTGATGATGTCAGCCAAGCAGGGAGATCATGGGCAGAGCCAGCAGCAGCAGACTGCAATAAAGGTAAGATTGTGCTATGTTTATTGGGGGAATGGGGGAGAGAGGGGGTTTAGATAGTGTTTTTAACACTATAGGGTCAGAAACACATGTTTGTGTTCCTAACCCTATCATGTTCCTTTAATGAATCAGTTTTAGTGTATATATTATGCCTCTGAAGTTTCACTGCTCAATTCTCTGCCATTTAGG